TCCGATAAGGCACCGAGGAGGCTTTCCGGCCACAAAACAGTCACCGGGCAGTCAACAGGAGCAGCTCCCGTTGGTGACTTCATCTGGAAAGCACACCATTCCCCTCTCACCAAGGAGACAAAGAACCATCCCATAAGGAAGGAAGAGGGGAGAGTTTGGGATCAGGGCCCAAGAGATGCGTGAAGTGACCAGTGTTAATGGCAGGTGCTGCTGTCTGCTTCTCATCACCCAGCCTTTGATCTCCTCGCTATCCAGCATCTCCTCCTTCACCCAGCAACATCTCTCAAACCACAACCGGCAAACCAAGGCAACTCAAATCCTCCCGCCTGCATCCAAAGGTTCATTTTAAAGCTCACTCGTTAGAAATACCCTGCAGAGCTGTTCTCTGAGCAGGGGGGATCTAGCATCCTTGCCCCTACCAGACTCCTGGCACTGCGTTCCCATGTTGGTCCAACAGTGGGTTACTCACAAGCCCTCTGAATTCGAGGCATTTCTCTAGGAAATACACGGCCATCTGTCTGTCCCAGCCTGCCTGCAGGTCCGGGCGAGCAGCCGCATTCCCCTCATTCCAGCCCGGCTGTGCCGCTCACATTCCTGCCAGCGCGCTGGGGCTGCCAGCACCAGGCTGGTGCGAGAGGAGCAGCCCAGGAACGTGCCCAACGGCTGGGCTTGCAAATCCTAAGGGTATGCCAAGAAAACCATTTTGTATCACAAAAAGGCTTATTCATTACCTGCTGGTATTCAAAATAGCTCTAGGGTAGGGACGGGTTAAACAGACTGGAAGGAATTGGGAAATCTCACTCTGGCCCTACCCTTCAAGGCACAAAGTACTACTGAAGCCAGGAGAAGTACAGGGTGATCAGCATCCCACATGATTTGGATCTTTATCCAGTTACGATTCCCAACCCCGCCCCAAATGCCTGCTTTTCTGTCCTCTCCAAACCTGCATTATACATGAGGGACAGGCTAAAAACCTGGGTTCAGCTCGGTACCCCATGCCAGTCAGCCTGAACAGTGCAGGATACCAAGGCAGAGATTTCAAATAAGCTTTGCTGATGTGGGAAAATTAAGGGCCTGATTTAGACATGGATCCTTGTGAGTGCGATCCCACAGCTGTCAGGGACTTCATCCACTACTCAAAGCATTCTGACTTTACCTGACTTGTGTATGCGGACACACACCTCCCAAAGCACCCAGCCACTAAAACCTCCAACTGCAAATACAAAACTGACCCAGGAAACCAAGAGTCTTTAAGATTATTTACCCTGGGTTTAGCATGTTTGGGAAATACAAGTAACAAATCAGAAAACTTGGGGCTGGGTTTTCAGTCTGTTAGGAGGTGCGTGACACGCACTGGGTCAATCCCTGCACCTTTTACCCTCCATCAGAGGTTTCTCACCAGCCACAAAGCTCGGCTTTTCTTTCTGGACCTACCTGGCGAAGGCTGAGGCTGCCATGACCCGTCTGCTCCCGGTCCTGAGCATCGCTGCCTTGTCTCCTCGGCTCCTTCCCGCACATCCCTGGGGTTAGGATCCAGCCTTACCAGGCTCAGGGTGGCATCCCATAGGATGAGCCTTGTCTTCCCAGGAAAACCTTGTTACCACTCCCCTAGCAAACACGTCCTCTTCGCATGGGACACAGACCAGTAAGACCAGAGGAACCATCCTTAACCTTATTCACATCTGCTAACCCCAATACTTCCTCTCCTGGCCCCCACTTCCCTCCTCATCCCAGCCATTATTTGTTATTTTAGTGCCTTTTGGGGGCTTGGGTAATTGCCATGAGTCATAACACCAGAATGTACTTATCAAGAAGAATCACAGATCAGACACTCTGCAATGAATATTGTATAAGCTTGGATGAGAATTAGCATAGACGGGCTCGGTTTGATTTTATGCATTAGAAAATGGATTCGGTTCCCACAGGGCTAGCATTTTATGAAGACATAGGGGCCAAATGGTTTGTTACCGAACCTGGCAATACATTTACTTATTTATATATTAAAACCCATATCCGATATGGAAATCTCGTCTGCATTGTCTGTTGGATGAGTAATCAAAATCAACATGAAGCAAACACTCAGAATACACCAACCACAGGACGGGTGGTGGGGTTTATTGCTGTTTTTTCACTTTTTCAGAAGAAAGTTCCAGAAACCTGGCACGAGGAACCTCCTGTAACAGTGATTTCCAGGCTGCTCCCACCAGCCAGGCTGTGAGAGGGACCTGCGGGTGTCTGGGCTAAAGCAGGGGGCAGGGGGAAGCAACAGTTTTTGGAAGTTCCCCCAAGGGACTGAAATCCCAAAGAGACGCCAAGGAGTCCACAGGGAATATTCAGGAATCCAAAAGGTCTCGTAAGATACACAACAACAAGGGGCAATTCCTATCCAAGCAGAAACTTCCTTGGATGGGAAACTTATCACTGCTCCCCATCCCATCAGAAGAGCCAACATCAGGGGATTTCACCTAAGGCAGAACCACGCAGACCGGGAGCTGCCCACACAACAGAGAATTATTTCTAAGCAGCCACGGCACAAGACCTGACTCTTTCTCAAGATAGTGCTGCACCCAGAGGCAATTTAATCTAGGTGGGTACGGTACAGCCCACTGACTGCACATGGGTTATGAATAGAGGCATTCAAGTAAATCCAAATAAAGGCCAATAACGCCACTTACATTTCATACTGAGTTTTTGAATGCTGTAGAGGCCAACACAGGACTAAAACAACAAGAGATTTGACTCTCTTGCTGCTTTCCACGTCTCAGAAACTTAAAGCAGTCAGGGAAGACAAGCTCTTCTGTTGTTTCAGCTCCCGGCCTTACAAAAACCCGTAGAAAAACCACCCCACGTGCATGCTGTGCTCACAACCTGGAGCATCACCAGGACGGTAACCTGGACACTGAACGGGCTACACGCTTCCGCTGGTCCGTGGGTGCAGCTCCAAAGGGGGCTTTGAAGATGCTTGGCAGCATCAGAGCCATGCATCTGGGGAAAGGCAGATGAGATTACATGGATCCCATTTTTCATTTAGGTGGCATAACCACCAGTGGCAATGAGCGGAGCCCAGGACATCTAGCTCTGTTTGCAGAAAGCTTTCCTTACAGCTGGTGCGGCAGCCTGCTGCAGAAGCCTGACTGCAAACAGGCGGGCAACCCCAAAGTCAGCGCGGAGGATCCCGAGTCGCTGCCTGCACTGGGGTCAGCAACAATCCGGAGCCCCTGGGAGCAGCGCAAAGGGTTCACATCCAGCCCTCTCCCCCATCTACCGGTGCCCCAGCACCCTCCCCGCAGCACCCTGCTCCACCCCGGACCGCAGCCGGGAAGGAAACAAGAGCCCAGCCCAGCCTTGCAAAGCCTGTGCAGTGCCCGGGTGGGAAGGGAGGTGGGACAGCGATGCCTCCTGCGCAGGGTGCAAATTAGCCTGCCTCCACATTTCGACGTGACGTTGCGGGATCGCAGTTCATCCTTGTGGAGAGGTTTCCACTTCACAAGAAAGTTGTGATAGAGAAGGAGAAGGGTTTGCACTCAAACATGCCCAAATCCCAGGGCCAGCATCCCTGGGAGAGCAGCTGAGATGCAGGGGTAATATGGGAGCTACCCTGGCAGAGGAAGGGGTCAGGGCACAGGGGAACAGCAAATATTTACATTCTCAGGTCAGCACACAGTGAAGAGAGACATTTAAGGAGCCAGTGGCTGGAGTTAGAGGGAAAGCTGTTGTCACTGTTTCCCTGGCTACAGCATGCCTGGTGCTCAAGTACCGAAGTCTGGACACCTTATTTACAGAAAGTCCCAGTGAAACTGGCAGCAGTCCTGCAGCGCTCAGCCGAAACCAGCGCTGGAGAGGTTTGCGAGCGGGCCGGGAAAAAGACAGATGAAGTTGGAAAGCTCTTGCCTCATGGGAAGGTAATTAAGCAGCAAACTGATGGCTATTTAAAGCAGGCAAATGCTTATTCCTGGTTTAAGGTCAGGGAACAGAGCTGAGCGACAGCACCTGAGCTCATGCCAGAAGGGGTGTTCGGAGAGGACCCCAAGGAGGGATTATTTCTCCTGCCACTCTCCCCAAGCCCTCAGCCACTTCTGGCAACACTCCTCCTTCCCTGCAGACCATATAACGCTCTGCCAGCCTGCACCCGCCTGACCCACTGTCGCATGGAAACGATACGTAACGGGCACGTTGCAGCAACACCCTCTAACCACAGGGAGAAACTATACATACATACATACATACATACATACATAAGACCTCCTTGCGAGGTGGTCACCTTGCCTGTCTCTATGCTGCAGTCCGTCCCCCGCAGGAACAAGGTGCCAGTCCCCAGGAGGGCTGCTGTGACCTTCGATCGTCTTCGCGACTCTTTGAAGCTACCCAGACCGAGTCTCTCCCCTGCCCCTATGAGCAGCCGGGGCTGCTGGAATTCTGGCACTGGCATATACAGTAACAGCAAAGCCACGGTTTACATCAAACGTGCACTCTTCTGTAATTCATGTCACTAACACAAACCAGATGCCATCTTCCTCAGCCTCTGCAGAGAATGATGGCCTGCCTTTGCATTACATAAAACAGCAAGAAAATGAAATTTAAGCCTTCAAGAAAAAGCAAAATAAATAAATCGGTAATTAGGCAAAAAACGTCCAAGCCAAAAACAGCTTCCAAGTTTCCAGGAAGAATTAGGTTGTTTATGGAAGTCCTGTTTCAACTAACAGCCTGCCTGGCAGGTGGTAGGAATGTGAGTTTGTGGAGAGCAGAAACATGAAGCTGCTCTGCCTGGGGCACTCTGCTTTGCTTTGCTGTTTTCTTGTTTTAGTTAAACAAGAGGAGACATTACAAATATTCAACAAAAGGAGAGCTGTGCATCAGTGCGGCCTTTCCTACCTTGTATGCCATAGAGTCGATTCAGGCGCGATCGTCTGGCCTCGTCGGCGTACGGCACAGCTACCCAGGGCATCTCACTGAAATACTGCTTGAAGGAGTCCTCCGACCTGTGCAAGGAGAACAGGGCATGGGATACAGACTACAGCCCCGCCGCCTGCCAGGCTCTTTCCTCTTCTTGTTAAAAACCTGCCCTGCAAAGCCCTTTATCCCTTCCACCAAAGCCCACCAGTAAGGGCTGCTGGCGGACACAACCCGGGGAGAGTTAGACCAAATTTAAAGCCCCTGGTCCCTCAAGAAGGGGTCCGTGGTGCATTTTTTCCCAATATTTCAAACCCTTAAGTGCATCTGAATGTCAACCCACGGTGACAGCAGTAGCTCAAGCATCCTTCAGACATCAGACCAATGAGCCACAAAGCGAAATACAGAGTCGCTCCACAGACAGAGCCTGCTCTCAGCCCACCGCTGCCCTTGCTAAGCCCCCTTTGCACTTCACCGCTGGCCAGAGGACAAAGGACTCGGGCAGCCTTTCTGATACCAGAGCCAGCCTGCTCTACCCCAAATCAAATTTCCTCCTCAAATCAAACCAGCAATGCTCACAGCTTCCCAGCTTGGGGGCAGCCAGCTCTGCCTGCTCGGGACGTTAGCGCTTCCTTACCTGTCTGCGCTAACGAAGAGTATCTCAAACTTCTGGCCTGACTCCTTGATTTTCCGGTAGGACTCCACCAGGACCCTTGTGAGGCTTCGGCATGGTGGGCACTGCAAAACACAGCACAGGCAAAAGGACATTGTCCCCTCCACAGGGCCAGACTCACACCCAGCAGCTCCAGATGACCTAGTGACCATGAAAAGACAGATGTGACCTCATCTTTGCTGGAGTGCGGGGCAGCAGTCCTGAACGTGGCTGGGGCTTATGGTCCATGAGTTGCCAATAAAATCTCTTCTATTTTTAAAATCTGACCACTCTTCCCCTTCTGAAGGGCCAGCTGAGGATGACAGCTCACCGCAATGCTGCAGCTTCTTCCAGAACGCCCGGAGCATCTCAACTCCTTCAACACCAACGGGCCCGAGGTCGTTCCCCTCCCATGGAGCTCTACAGCAAGAGCTGCAGGGGGGTCCCCAGGGCACCCCTGAGCTCACTCCAACTGCTCTGCAAGGTACCTACTACTCACCCAGTGCGCGGAGAAATAGCCCCCAACGTGAGAGCCCTCCAGGGCACTGCTGTCTAGCGTCTGGCCATTGTTCCTTAGCAGAGGCCCAGCAACAACTTCACTGAAGGGTTTTGGCCCCCAGGGGAACTCCAGACCTGGGGAGGGGTCGGGATGGGGGTGGAAAGAAGACACAAAACAGGCACATGCAGCTTTTACCGTTTCAAAAAGTTCCACTAAAAAAACCCATCCCACCTTCTCCAAAGACACAGGGGATCCCATCTGAGGAATCCCACTGGGGTTCATCCCCACCCAAGGGGGATGCAGAGCAACCCAGCCGTCGGGCATCACCACACCTCCGCCCCGAGCCGAGGA